TGGCGGCGGTGGCGCTCGATGCGCGCGAGCACCGCCTCGCCCGGGTTGCCGCCGCACGCCTCCAGCTCGCTGCGGTAAGCGTCGTACTCCACTCTGGCACACAGACAGATATGTACATGTCACCCCCTGATCTATCACCGGTCAATACATTTGGTACGGCAATGCAAAAACCTCGCAGCCTCGTATTGCCGTATGGTGAGCAGCGTGTCCTCGATGGTTTTGTTGGTGAGCGTGTTGAGCGAGTTGTTGAAGAAATGCAGCGCCGCGAGCAGCACCTCGCCATTGCGGGTCAAGGATCGCTGCGTGTCCGCGTTGTAGAGGAACCTGTTCATCAATTAAGCACAGATAGCTTCTATATATAAACCATCCCCTAGAACCATATAAACAGTGATAGTTAGTGGTTTGAGGAAAGTGTCCACGCACTGGTTCTGCAGCTCAGGCGACTTCTGCGCAAGATCGGCGAAGGCGTCCCCTAGCGCGCGCTGCGTGTGCTGCGCCGCACCGAGCTGAGCCGCCAGTGCGCTGCTCAGCCGCAGTACACCATTGTATTTCCGCTGAGTCTCCCGCAGACTCTCAATCTTTGCTTCCAAATCTATGATGTTAACATTTTATATATCCATCAAGATGTATTTTTATTAGTAAGAGCCCCAGCAACAAATCGGTACCTGTATCAACAGTCCTTGAAGTCTTTCCCAACTTCTCATAGAGCAGCTGCCGAGTGCACTTGTATGTGGACACTCCCCAGTTCTTGAGGGATTCCAGCTTGGTGGAGCCTGCTCGCAACAGGGTGCTGTTCCCTGCTCCCCCATTCTGAGACACATCTGGTGGAGCTGTTTTGTACACATTTCTCTTTTATAATTTAGGACAGCTTACAATGTGGAACTGTCACATAACAAAATTGTAAAACTAGTAATAAAATAGACAACTTCAGATTTGGAATTTATTGTGATATGTGATTAAACCGTCATTATCTTAAATTATTCAAACTTTCATGAAACATTATAATAAACTGATATAAAAACAGCTAAACACTCAATCACTCTCTTCATTGAACACAGTGAGTGAAGGGCCGCATCCACAAGATAATACCACTCACCCTGATGATGTGCTCGAAACTAGTCGGTGCCGCCACTGGACGAATATACATGACTGTTTAGCCGTTTTTATATCAGTTTGTCATTATCTTTTTCTTACCATAAGCTGGTGGGAAAGGCATAGACCGTGATGTGGGGAATTTGGCCTCTGTGCCAGATGTGATAGAGTCACTGGACTCTCGCAGTGGTGGAGTATCCTTTAACATTTCATGAATGCTTCTCTCTGATTGCCTGGAAATGTTTACACACAATAGCATTGTAACACTCAGATCCATTAAATAAGATATCATAAGACCAGCATCTTGATGAACTGTGACTTTTAATTTCTCTTTCCCAGCTTAGAAGTCATATTGGACAAGTGAACCGTAGCGCCGCAGTGTAATTTAATACGAATGATGAAAAGCCGGTAGGACTATATGATGTGATGAAAACTTAAACTCACAAAACAAATATTCGATTTTGGTCCTGTTGATCTAAAGGGTAGACATCTTTATTACACCATTCTTTAAGATTGCCTTCTAGAAATAAAATGCCATGCTTAAAAATTAATCAATTAATGAATATTTCTTACCATTTAGACATTTTGCCGAAGACAAGGTTTATGCACAAAAAATGGGAACACCGTGTAAACAATGTAATATTTTGTTATAATACAAATTGTAACATATTCTCCATTCAATTAAAAATATATATTTTTGTTAATTATAAGACTAAGGAGTAATAATTGGCAATAGAGTGGCAATGCAATGCAATAAATTAACAATCAACAAAATTATGAATCACACAAAAGTCAAGTTCAATTTGACATTAGGTGTATTCGGTTTCGGATATCTTCTGCGTATTGCGGAAACATGTATCTAGTTTTTTATGAAATAACTCTTTACGGATCTAATTTTTATAATTCGTTAGGTAAATGGGCCCCTTTTTTAATTAAGATACATTATTTTTTACCTGAAAAAAATTGATTTGCAAGGTGAAGAGAAAATTGCTTGTAAGAGTTTTTAGACCATTTCGTACTGACCACCTGCTTGTCGTTGACCTGGTAGATCGTGCATTTTTATCCAGTCGTTTTGAGTCAAATTTAATGTCTGGTTTTTATTATGCCAGCTCAGTAAGCCAGTAGCCCTTGAAATCAAAGCTTCGGCGCACCACTTGATGTAATATAGACACCCACTAACGCCGGTAAGCAAGCCAATCCAATAATTACGATGGCGTTCTACTTTTTAGGCTTCTAAGGTTCTATTACAGATGAATAATTTGGACCAGCAATAGATGTTTAGGATTGCAAACTGTAAAATATATGGGTGACGACTTTTAACAGATTCTGTGATTGGTACGGAAAGCTTTTAGTCCTTCCAGCAATTTCATGTCCTGGTTTTATATAATAATTTCTGTGATGCCATTAAATTAAAACAAATAATGATAAAACGAGTATAATATATTAACATCAAAATTGTATTACAAAATATTGTACAGCTAACATTATATTTTGCATTGTAAAAATATAAAAAATATATTTGTGTAAACAGTAGCGTGTACCAATTTATTTTGTGACTGACGTAATGTATATATATATATATATAATTAACTGTACCTATTTGTTATTACTAATGTAAACATAACATATTTCTATACATAAATGAGATGCTTGGAATTATTTTAGTATGAAATGTTTTATACATTTAAAGACACAACACTTATAGTTACACTATTACTAAGTACCGAGTTTACTTATATTAAAATTATAATTAAGACTAGTTTCACGATCGGTAGGTATTCGCGTAACTACGACGATTTGTTAATTACAAAACTATACACTTACTTTAATTTATCCGTATAATGCAACCGCACTTTGTAAATCTAAAAAGAACACAACAAGAACAAGCTAACTTAATATTGCAGACGTCGAGACTCGGGTGTAACACATATGGATCATGGTTTTTCTGCCTCTTTCATTTGTTGTTCTTTTCTTGTTAATTGAATTGTGTCATGTGTGAAATCATGATTCTGATTTGGGGTTTTGTACTTTGTATTTATACATTTTCTTTCTTTTTAATGATACGTAAAGTTTGACTTCATTTCAAGAATGTACCAAGTTTCACGAAGCATACGAATAAGTAAATAAGTTATTGTTA